CAACCGTATATAACATCTGGTAAACGGGTTATACATTTTATTATTTTCTAGACAGGATAATAACCGTAAAACAAAGAGCAACACTTCATGTCAAGATGCTGAGGACAATAAATATGGATGTGTGAAGTGGAATCGAATTTCAGTCTGATGACAACCCAGTCATATGCGATCTTTGTTGAGTGTATGATACTTCTCAGTTGTTCATGAAATTACTTGCTTTCAAGGAATTGAAAAGCCTGTGCAATTCACACATCACAACCTTCCCAAAGATATATCTGAACATTTTTACCACCAGTGCCTTGGTCTTTGAAGTTATCTCAGCCTCTGCGATTTTTTCAAACAGTTTTGTTTGCATTTCTTGTTTTTAACACATACTACTTGTTCTGCCCATCTCATCCTTCTTGATTTAAAACCATAACAGTTTTAAGCAGAGATTAAGAATTATGTTGTTTTTGTCCAATCTCCTGTTCCATCCTCTGTCCTAACTGTTATTCTCTCTCTGACTGTGAGGCAAGTTTGCATACCCATAAAAACAACAGGTGAATTATAGTTTCACATATTATACAGGAAGACAAAGCAAGCATACCATGAAGCCAGTCTGCTCTTGGCCTTATGTGATGCATGCAGTCATTGACGACCCTTACCTGTGTCTCAGCTACGTCTCCCTCAGCACTTGTGAGTCAATTGCAAACAACACCTACATTGTGGCTGAGTTGTTACTTCTAGTCTCGCTGCACTTATCAGTTCCTGTTTCCCCCTGATTGTGGTTTTCAAATGGTCGGTGGAAGTCAAGTGGCATGTCCTTTGTTTGAGCAAGACAGTGCCAAGTGAATGTCCACCTGTATTATGTGCACTGGCTCTTCTTTCAGTGTCTTGTTTGTGCGTGTGTATGTTCCAAGCACCTTATGAAATTTGGCATGAGTGTCCTGCCACACCACACATTTATCCCTTTTAATTTTCTGTTATTGATGGTACAGACATGGCACATGTGTGAACTTCTGGCATGCTAAAGGACTCTGAAAAGTTGGATGTTTGTTAGGATGATATTTTTATACATGACAGTCATGTGTCTCTTGATGTGGAAACCAGAAAAGAGACAAGACTTTCTGGTGAATCCTGTTCAAATTAAATGACATGGAAGACCAAGAAAGAGATGAAGGGAGGTTGTGTCCTTATGTTCATGATGGCTGCACCATTACCATATCAGGGATGGTGGCACTTTGCTTGAACAACATGTGTAAGTTCCACAGCACAAAATTTCTTACATTGTCCTACTTGTTAAACAAGAAGACTAAGATTCATGCTTATCATATAGCATTTAAACTGAAATGTATTCTTGGAAATATAGCATGGTGGGAGAAGAAATTATTACAAAATTTTGATAGGAGAATCTGTTGTAAAGTAAGAAAGACCAAGGAGTTTTTAGGATAATGTTAAGTTGTCAGGATGTTAGGTGGCTCAGTATCATATCCATTGGCAGGGCTTTGGCACTGTTGAACCACAGAGACCTATTCTGGTGCTTCCACTGAAAGTATTTGATTGTTGCCATCAGCTTCAGTGTGGTGGTGCGTGCAAGCATTTGAGATGGCTGGTTCTTGGGTGAACAAGAAATACATATGCAGTTTCATTGGAATATCATGAGGGAAGAGACCACCAGCTTAAATATGTGTGGAAATTATCTATTTGTTTTGCATGAGAACTGAACAGGCTTAATTAATGAACACCTCAGGTTCTCTCCTTTGTCCATTGCTATTCTGGTCACTGCTTGTTAGTGTTATTGATATTTTTGGTCCACTAATAATTAGTAACATGAAATGATTGAACATGCCAGTTGTTTGTAGCATGAATTATGGTTCTTTTTGTCATTTTATAATATTATTGTATTACCTGTGAATCTTGTGAAAGCACAGAATGCACAGTTTCATATAACAGCTAGCCAAAATGAATTTGTGTTATTAACAAATAACACCAATAAATATTAGGATTTGAGACACGTATCTAGCCTATACCATATGCATGTGAAGAGCCGCCTTTGTAATCGTCACACCAGTGATGTATGCAGGCATCTATATAGCCATGAAACGAGTCATGTAGACGCCACCATAACTGACTCCTATAATGATCATATCAACATATCCATACATGACTTGTGTAGTAACATTTCGTTAACTATCCCCCACCCCACCACCACCAGACCAAATATCCCAAATAGGCTGCTTGTACTAAAATGGTAGTTGGAAGGAGGAATGTAACATTTAATATGGAAAATGGCAGGAATTTATTGCTTTGTGCTGTAATCACTGGGAAATATTTACATTGTGTGAATATTAAATGAGAGTTTTTTCCGCCCCTCTTTAAAGTGGCAAAGAACAGCTTCAGTCTGCTTCATGAACAGAGTGATAGTCTTCTGTTTTTGCTGCCTTTTCCAAAACTGTTATTGAAATTAATGTTGTAGAATGCCATTCCTGTTTGATGTAGCACTGATTTTCCAATTGAGTGATTTCCCATTTAGACAATTTGAAAAATGTCACTGTTTATAGCAACATACATAATTGTTATTACCTTTTATGTTATTGTTCTTATGTATTGTGGTTAATGGAAAACATAGGCTATTTTAACTATTTTTCCTTCTTTGTCCAAATCACATAACTTCACCCATACTTTTCTTTCACTTTCTCCACAATTTGGTGAACCTTCCCTTTAGCTTCATCATAGGTTGATGTTACTTTGCCCTTTGTTTCTTCATATGCTGATGTGATGATGTTGCCCATTGTGTTCCACCAGTGTGGTTTCAGTATATGTGTGTCATTGATCACTCCGAAGTTGGTGCTTTGTGAATGCTCAAAGATTGAGTGTTGGTTTAGAATTTCAAATGCACTTTGCTGTTCTTCACTGTTGTGAGAACCAGCAGGTGGATGGTGTTGTAGTTTTGGGGATTTTTCAGACATCTCTTGACCAGAATTGTCACTGCCTTGTATTTGCCCTATCTGTATATCTTGGTCATCAGACAGTTGACTCTGTGTGTGTTGTCCAAATACATTAATAGCATCTTGAATTTGTCCAAATTGTTCAATTTCTTGGTCATCTGCCAATTGACTCTGTGTCTGTTGCCCAAGTTGACAATTAGCATCTTGAATTTGTCCAGCTTGTTCAGTGTCTTGATCATCTGATATTTGACTCTGTGTCTGTTGTCCAAGTAAATTATTAACATCTTGAATCTGTACCACTTTTTCCATATCTTGATCATCTGATATTTGACTCTGTGTCTGTTGTCCAAGTAAATTATTAACATCTTGAATCTGTACCACTTTTTCCATATCTTGATCATCTGATATTTGACTCTGTGTCTGTTGTCCAAGTAAATTATTAACATCTTGAATCTGTACCACTTTTTCCATATCTTGATCATCTGATATTTGACTCTGTGTCTGTTGTCCAAGTAAATTATTAACATCTTGAATCTGTACCACTTTTTCCATATCTTGATCATCTGATATTTGACTCTGTGTCTGTTGTCCAAGTAAATTATTAACATCTTGAATCTGTACCACTTTTTCCATATCTTGATCATCTGATATTTGACTCTGTGTCTGTTGTCCAAGTAAATTATTAACATCTTGAATCTGTACCACTTTTTCCATATCTTGATCATCTGATATTTGACTCTGTGTCTGTTGTCCAAGTAAATTATTAACATCTTGAATCTGTACCACTTTTTCCATATCTTGATCATCTGATATTTGACTCTGTGTCTGTTGTCCAAGTAAATTATTAACATCTTGAATCTGTACCACTTTTTCCATATCTTGATCATCTGATATTTGACTCTGTGTCTGTTGTCCAAGTAAATTATTAACATCTTGAATCTGTACCACTTTTTCCATATCTTGATCATCTGATATTTGACTCTGTGTCTGTTGTCCAAGTAAATTATTAACATCTTGAATCTGTACCACTTTTTCCATATCTTGATCATCTGATATTTGACTCTGTGTCTGTTGTCCAAGTAAATTATTAACATCTTGAATCTGTACCACTTTTTCCATATCTTGATCATCTGATATTTGACTCTGTGTCTGTTGTCCAAGTAAATTATTAACATCTTGAATCTGTACCACTTTTTCCATATCTTGATCATCTGATATTTGACTCTGTGTCTGTTGTCCAAGTAAATTATTAACATCTTGAATCTGTACCACTTTTTCCATATCTTGATCATCTGATATTTGACTCTGTGTCTGTTGTCCAAGTAAATTATTAACATCTTGAATCTGTACCACTTTTTCCATATCTTGATCATCTGATATTTGACTCTGTGTCTGTTGTCCAAGTAAATTATTAACATCTTGAATCTGTACCACTTTTTCCATATCTTGATCATCTGATATTTGACTCTGTGTGTGTTGTCGAAATACATTAATAGCATCTTGAATTTGTCCAAATTGTTCAATTTCTTGGTCATCCGCCAGTTGACCCTGTGTCTGTTGTCCAAGTAAATTATTAACATCTTGAATCTGTACAGCTTTTTCCATATCTTGATTATCTGATATTTGACTCTGTGTGTGTTGTCCAAATACATTAATAGCATCTTGAATTTGTCCAAATTGTTCAATTTCTTGGTCATCTGCCAATTGACTCTGTGTCTGTTGCCCAAGTTGATAATTAGCATCTTGAATTTGTCCAGCTTGTTCAGTGTCTTGATCATCTGACAGTTGACCCTGTGTCTGTTGTCCAAGTAAATTATTAACATCTTGAATCTGTACAACTTTTTCCATATCTTGATCATCTGATATTTGACTCTGTGTGTGTTGTCCAAATACATTAATAGCATCTTGAATTTGTCCAAATTGTTCAATTTCTTGGTCATCTGCCAATTGACCCTGTGTCTGTTGCCGGATTTGATAGTTGGTGTCTTGAATTTGTCCAGCTTTTTCAATATCTTGATCATCTGATGATTGACTCTGTGTGTTTTGTCCAAATTTATTGTTAGCCTCTTGATTTTGAATGACTTGATCATCAGCAACTTCGTAAAGTGTTTGAGATTCATCGTGAACTTGGTTTTGATCTGTTTCTTCAGTGATGTCAAGAGCTGCAGTTTCATTTTCACTTTTTGTTACTTCATGAGCTATTTCAATATTTTGGTCAATGTCTTGATTACCAGGCTGATGAGTCTGAGTTTGTTGTCTGACTACTTCAACAGAGTGTTGGTTTTGTTCTGTTTGTTCAATATTTTGACTAGCAATCAAATTACTTTGTGCTTGTTGTTTGAGGTTACCAGCAGATTGATTATTTTGTTCAGGGTTGTCATCAGGCTCTGGATTTTGTACAGTTTTATTAATGTCTTTGTTATCAGATAAATGTGCCTGTGCTATTTGTCTAAAGCCGCCAACATTTGGTTGATTTAGTCCAGCTTGTTCTGTATTCTGCTCAACATGCAAGTGGCTCTGTGTTTGTTGTCCATTGTCTTCACCAAATTGCTGTGTGGGGAGATGTTGGAGCTGCCACTTATGTCGTTGTGCTTGTATAATTAATGTGAAAGATTTGTGACCCAGGGAATCATCCGTACTGTTATGGAACATGCTGTGTTGGATGTGCACAGGCTGCTGGAACTCAGATGTGCTCTGTTGGATGCGCACAGGCTGTTGGAAGTCATGTGTGCTCTGGTCAACAGGTTGATAAAGCTTGAATTTGCTGTGCAGTGACTGTTGAATATTTGCTGCTTGCTGGGACTGAAACATGTTCTGGTGTGATTGTTGCATGTGAAAGTGTTGCCCAAACCCAAATGTTTGATGGTGTTTCTGTTCAGATTGTGCAGGCTGCTGGAACGCTGATGCCTTTTGTTGCACTTGTTGAATTGCTTCTGGTGGCACTCCAAACTTCTGAAGATGGTGAAAGTGAAATCTGTCAGTGTTTTCTGGCATCCGGTCCTCAAAGTGTTCTTGCCGTGTTTGTTGTGTGTTTCCACCCCAGCTGAATGTGTCTGGATCTTGCAAACTGGCGTGGAAATGTTCGAGGTCCCCGTCATGTTTGGGTTGGTGTGTCCCCAGGGAGTTGAACCTGCCTTGTGGCCATGCATAGCTGCGCTTCTGTCTCTCATTGCTGAGCTGATCCAACTCATCCAAGAAATTTGGGTTCATGGTGTCACTAGTAGATGGATCCTCAGCCTTGAAGTGGGGGATGAAGTTGCCTGTTTGATGGTCTCTCTCCCACTGTTGTACCTGTTGTAGTGATGGTTGCAAGTGTTGATATGACACAGGACTGCAAAATGCCCTCACTATCAGTAGGAATGCCAGCACAGCTACAGTGTTGGCAGCCATCTACAGGTGACAGAAAAATGACTGTGTTACCTTGACTACTGAAACTGTGTGCTGTTTGCAGCCATTGTAGTTGGCTATGGTGGTAGATGATAAACATATTAACAGAATTAAATTTTGACATTACATATGAGAGCTGATGGGCAGTGAAAATCTGTGGTACAGAGCATTGTTACAGAATAGATCGCAAATTTGAATAATTTATATATTTAAAATGGCCAACTTTTGTCTGTCTGTCCCACCCTATTTGTTTAAACCACACATTGAAGAAAAAATGGTAGACTAAAAATGTCTGTCTTGGAGAGACAGCCCATGAAAAAATAGCATCTGTTTTTTTTAAATAGGCACTGTGACATCCCACAAACTGACACATTGTAGAAAAAAATTTGAGTACAAAAATTACTCCTCTTTGAGAGAGAATCCAGTACATTTTTTTTCTGTTTCAAAAATCAGAAAAATGGTTGTCAAAAAATCTAAAACACCAGCTTGTTTCTTCCAAATGACGTGTCATAGAAAAGATGCAAATACAGAAATGTTTCTCTTTTAGAAACAACCTGAGGAATATTATTGATCCTGTGTTCTGATAAATTATAAGTTCTTCCCAGGACTTCTTGTTTGTCGGTAAACAAAAATGCTATATATATTTGAAGTAGTACGTCATGCCTGTGTCACCTTCACACCACAAAGTAAGAGAATTGGTGGCTGTGATAGATCAAAGTCACCACTGGCTTCTCGCCATATTAAAGGTTTATTTTTGGGCAGGAAGCCACTTACCTTACATCAGTCATTCTCCTCACCCCACTGAAGTACTGCTGAATATTAGTGCACAAATTAACTGTGCATGTGAATATAAATATGACACTGAGTTTTCTGCACATTTCTTTCTTGCCTTTTAACATTTAATTTAAACCAAACTGTCTGTAGTTGCATTATGGGATCAAATAATGTGCTGCAGTGATGTGTGTTGTTACCAATTTTAATTAAGTTTATTGTCCAGAAACTTATAAAGTAATTGTTCAGTTTAGGTGGAAGAATGTTCCCTAGTAAAACAGTTGCAGTTACATGACACAGCTTGGGGGAAGCGTGAAGGCCAGTTTAGTTAATCTCAGAAACAACATCAATGGTTTTTTGTCATGCAGCAAGTCAAGGTTTATTGCAAGGGCTCTGCTGCTTCGTGTTCAGGAGGTCCCAGATTCAAATCTCCAGCCTGGAGGCCTGCTGTCATGAGTGAACTTTGTTGTAGTTTCTCAGTGTCTTCAGGTAAATTCTGGGACAATATCTTAAATTAGGCCATGACTGCTTCCTTTTTACATCCTTTCTAATTCATTATTGACTAATAATTCTGTCATCTGATTCCACATTAATTCTAATAATTCTGTCATCTGATTCCACATAATCTGAGCCGTTGAACGTGTTAGAAAGATAGAAACAACAAGTGGTCACTGGTCATTGTCTCTGGGTCTTAAAGACTGTGTGTCAGCTCTACATAAAAATGTATTTTAATTGTCAAACGAAGGGCTGCTGTATGTGTTGTTGATTTTTACCAAAATTATAAGTGTGCAGACATGTTGTAGTGGAGTGGGTCGGTAATCATTGAAACTGTGACCTACCTTCTGGTTCTCTGCTCCTCTTATCAGCGCTGCTCTGAGTTTCCTCTGTTGATATCTTTGCACTGCTGTGGTTTTATATCTCTCCCCACTCAGCCTCATCACTTGTGTGCATCATTGTAACAACTCACATTGTGAAGGGGCCTTCATGCTCCATCTGCCTTTGCAATAGCAAGTCTGGTGGTGTGCCAGTCACATCTGAACCAGCAATCTGCTTTTCATAAATTTCCTCATAGACAACTGCACCCTGGCTGGCTGCATGGCAGCTTTGCAGATTTTTCATGTTGTATATTGTGCCACTCACTGTAAGAACCTTAAATTTTTTTCATTGAAAAACTTGTAACTTTTTAGGTCTTTTGGAACCTTAAATTTTGTTCATCGAAAAACTTGTAACTTTTTAGGTCTTTTAACATAAAACTGGTAGCCATGCAAAATCTTATATTTAGATTACAGTTTTATCAGTGTCGTGTCTTGTCTGACCTCGGAGTGACTGTGAAAGAATAAAGTGGGGCTAAATAAGATGCGTGGACGGTGTGCATTGCTGTGCTGACTGCACATGTGTTAGGTCAGTTTTGCTCAAAGGTGAGGCAGTGATCTGTGAACTGACATGCTAACATCGTCATTCTCCTGGCACTGTCCCACTCTGCGATAGGGCACTGACCAGTGGGTCAAGTGGGTATTGAACCAGGTCTGCTTTCATTGATGATAGGAAATATAATGTAGGGAACTGTGTATCCATAAGAGGTAACAACAAGAAACATGTTCAAATCAATGGGAATAGTGGGTTTAGTTATGGAGGCACTTAGCTCAAACCTGTCTGGGTTCTTCTCTGCAAATGCCAGGAGAGTAACTTAAAATAGGCCACAACTTCAGAAATACATTTGAATGGAAGTTGGCTTTGGTGGTAGAACAGGAGTTTCACAGTTTGCACTCTTTTGAGTGATCAAATGGCAGTAAGAAATACCATCAGAATTTTGATGTGGAAGCTCAGTAATTTGGTTTCTCCACATCGGCTTTTTGGGGTAATTTATACGAAACTGGTTGAGGATAAAACATGTATCGTGCAGGATTTTAATAAGAAATAGATACATTATTTCAGTCAGGAAATTCTCAAGGAAGAGACCACTTCGTACTCCTGTGAATATACTGAAAGATAGTGATAAAATGTATCTCAGAGATGTGACTGAATAGGTATCAGCTGCCAAGACATATGCTTGGCTCATATATTACTGTACACCCCTGGTTACAGCCTTGTCACAGATAATGGGGTTATCCGTGATAACCTCTTATCCTACTGTAATAGATGTAATATCCATTTCTTAGTAGCTCAAGAGTTCATGGTTTCATTTAGAACTGGTTGATAAAACTGTCTAGATTATAAGTCTTGAATTTGTCTTTAACATTCTTCCAGCATTTCAACAATACAGGGATTGTATTTTAGGGAGGTAACTGAAGTTTGCATTCTGTAATCATGCACTTAGTCAGTCAGTGTCGCGCAGGTGGCTGGTTTTAATGAGGCAGGGCATCCACTCATCGATATTCAGGTGATGGATAAATTCCCAAAGACTGTTTTTAGCCATTTCACAACATCATACTTATTTCCCTTCCATCTCTTTCTAGCTCTCCTACTCCTAATATTCAACTTCACATTATCCTTCCATCTCTTTCTAGCTCTCCTACTTTGTCTCTCTTCTGAGGTTTAACTATGTGAAGGACAAGTGTCATATAAATAATATTTAATTTGGTTCCTACCTCCAAGAAAACTGCATCACTGCTATAAAGATCAATCTTTTAATGTCTAGGAAAAGATTTCCTTTTATTCTGAGAACAAAATGAAACCCATAAGGGGGTCATGTGGGCAAGATGCCAAGTTACTGTTTCTTGTTTTGGAAATGCTCTTCCCTAATAATCCCTCTTGATTTGTTCACCCTAACAATATGATTTCTAAAGTTTCTTGGCATGTAATTTTCTGTCCTCATATTGATTTTCATGTCTCCTCAGAATTTTGTTCCAGGATGATTAGCACATTGCATAACAAGTAACTAAGTAACCTTGTATAGCACAGCTAATCTGACTCAGCTGATCAATAAATTCCACATGTTTTATTGAATCTGGTGGTTCATCACCATGTTCACTAGAGCCTGCTCATTCTGACCCTGACAGATCCCATCTCTTAGGTAATTTAAAGGATTTCATACTATTTTGAGGCCTGTTGTAAGCTTCATCAGCAAAGGTTGAGGACCACCCTTTGTTAGTTGTCATTTACTTTATTCAGTATATTCACAGCTTCCCTCTGTATCTGGAACCATCTCCTCCATCTGCAGCGTAAGGACTCACCATACTTTAGTGACAAGGGATACACTTAACATGGCTGTTTTTGAAATGGGTGCAAAAATATGTAAGAGTGTCTCAGAATTGTTGTTGCTGCTGCAGTTCATCACGAGCCACACTGTGTCGCGATAAACAGGAAATTGGTACGCCACATCCAGCTGATATGAGCCACAGCTTCCTGCTGGAGGTGCATAACAAGGGCGTATGGAGCATGTGCTGCAAGCCTAATTAACGGCAGTGGCAGGTTTTGTAATGATGTATCAGCTAATGGATACAGATATATTATACTGCGTTCCAGTGTTTTTGGCCGCTGAAATTTTGTTAATTGGAACGAGTCAGTTACGAGAAGTTTGGTGGAAGGGATAGCAGCAGGCCGCATACAGTACACTCCAATAAAATACCACCACGATTTCACCACACTACACATGACTAGAAAATTAACGCTTAAGAAAGTATTAGATAATTTTATCTTCTTCCACTCCTCACAGACCATCCCTTTCTGACATATCACTCGATTCATCACTCCATTATTTCAATTATATTACGTTCAGTATCGTCTTCGATCTTGCCTTCTTGCTCATAATAAATTTGTTCAAGTTTTTCCACATGCCGACATGCATCATCGCATTCCTCTTACCCAATTTCTTAGAATCTCTGGCGACGCAGACGCTCGACGTCCCTAATTTTAAATGTTGTGTTCTTGCTTGCAACCCATTGTTTTACATCTGCCCAAATAAGTTCAACGGGGTTTAAAGCCTTCAAGTTTTGAGTTTTAAACAAGAGTGTATGATCCTAACATTTTATACAGTGTTAATATCTTTGAATATATGCAGCAAAGAAACCATCGTGGTGTGTTGAAACCTGATGTCATGCCGGTTTCTCATAGGGACTTGAGAAGTTTATAAAAGAACCTGTGATCTTGTCAGTCTCCTAACCAAGATTCAAACCTATTACTTCCAGAATGTGACATTATTTGTGTCCACAGCCTCCCATTAAATATTGACTGATGTGTGAGATTTGAGGTTTTCAGGGTGGTGGGTGATTGCCAAAGTTGGCATGGTTGGTAACCACATAGATGACTATATAGCATCGTAGCTCTGAAGAAGAAACCAATGCAGATATTAACGGGGTTGAAAATTGTACATACTACTTGATGAACTTGAATGTGTATGTTGTTCCAGAAACCAGCCACCACTGTGCGGTTCTTCAATCGTGGTGACTATTATACTCTGCATGGGACAGATGCTATTTTGGCAGCAAAGGAGGTGTTCCACTCGGCAGGTGTGGTGAAGTTTATCGGCACCGACAGTAACCGCATTGAGTCACTAGCACTGAGCAAGTCAAACTTTGAATCTTTTGTGAGGGATCTGTTGCTGGTGAAGCAGTACCGAGTGGAGGTGTATGTAAGTGACACACCAGGATGCAAGAGCGGCAACAACTGGACTCTCGAGTACAAGGTAAACACATGTTGTTGTAACACACATAAATTAGCGGTGCTTGTCACTCCAGAGTTTTTGTAAAAGAATTTGCCTTAGTTGTGATTGTAATGTTTTAAACAGTTTTGGCTTTGAAAATAGGAATGATTTTAAAATGTGGGTGTTATTAAGACTATTGGGATTGTCATTTTAAAAGAAAAAAGGGGCAGTGGAGCCTGTTTTTATAAGTCATTTCAAAGTAAGTCAAAATTATTTGTTACCAACTTTAGTTTGCTTTTTCCCACCGCTTCTGTTGGCTGCCTGCAGGGCTCACCAGGCAACCTGGTGCAATTTGAGGATCTCCTGTTCAGCAATGTGGACCTGGTTGTGGGGACTGCAGTCATTGCTGTGTGCCTTACGGGTGACCCAAAAGCACGGGTGAGTTCCTTTGTTTCAAACCCTGAATTAAATTCAGAGGCTAGTTAAATGTTACTTCACAGTCATCAAAATATGGCATTCTTCTGCTTGATGCATATGTGACAGTCCACACAATCACCAATTGTGTAAACGGTAGAGAGAAATAAGACCTTTTTGGTGGGAGTTACATAATTTTTAATGGAAGAAGGTACATAAAATCTGTAGTTCACTGGATCCTTATATTCTGAAATAAAACATTCTTAATCCCTTTACTTTATCTTTTATCCTAATTTGTTAAACTCATTGCCAGTTTTTGAATTGTTATTGTTCAGATTATAATTATAAATTTACCAAGAAACTTATTATTTGTGGCAAACTCTATGACAGATACAATGATTTTTTTACATGCCTGTAAGGTAGAGAACTCTCCTAACTTCCAAGTATGTTCACCTGGCAAGAAGATTTTATTGATAATAACTTGACATCTGCCCACTTCATAACCTCTGCTTAAGAAGAAAATTCTGCATCTGAATCTTCAGCCCTTTTTGCCACGCTTGCAGTGTGGTCTGAACCTTTAAACACTGTTCAATAGCAAATAGTTGTTATAGCTGTTGCCTGACAGCAAATTGTGTGCAGGTAGTGGGTATAGGCTTTGCAGACGCCGTTGAGCGACGACTGTCGGTGTGTGAGTTCCCAGATGACCAGCACTTCTCAAACCTGGAGGCCCTAGTTGTGCAGCTCACCCCCAAAGAAGTACTACTCCCCAAAGCACCAGAATCTGCACTGGACATGGCAACAGTCAAGAGGGTGAGTCACATGTTGTGGCCTCACAAGCAATACTATGTGAACTCGGCGTGTTCGTAATAATTAGTCGCACACCTCACGGAAAGAGACTACTTGAAAGACCAAAACCTGAGGTGGGAGAGTAATGTTAAAATGGATCTTAGAAACATAACCTAACCTGACCTAATAATTAAATTCATACCCACAAGCAGCTCTTACTGAACAGGTGATGGAGCGTGGCAATGTGCTGGTAACACAGCGCAAGAGGACAGAGTTCCATGCCGATGGGCTTGCCCAGGATCTGAACCGGCTCCTGCGCTTCAGGGAGGGGCAACAACAGAATTCACTGGCTCTGCCAGAAATGGGCCTTGCTGCTGCCATCAGCAGCCTCGCTGCACTTGTCAAATACCTCGAGGTGAGATGTTCATGATGATGGCATGTTTGGTATTAGCAGGATTGAACCCTCAGAGTGTCTCAGCTGTCATAGCCTCTTACCATGATGTTTAAAACAGGCCTGGTCTGAGTCAGCCCTGGTAACATCCAGGCATTGAATGTCACCACAGCTCTATACTTTATGAACACAACTTCATGGTGGTAGCTAGCTGCAAGTTACCAGTACTGTGTAAGCTTGTAATAGTTCATGCATTATCACTCAGGTTTAGGAATCATGAGGTGATAGTTCTTTATTGTCAGGTTAAATTGAATGAATGTAAGTTTATATTGAGTACTGTCATCATTGGGCAGTCTCCAGCTTGGAGGGATAACAACCCTGCACTATAAAAGCCAAAGTCCAGCACGTTATGAAATGTTACTTGTATGGAGGACTAGATTCATGTGGGGCAGGCTCTTGTGAACACAGTAATGGTCAAAGAAGGCCATCTTCATATTCACCTCTGTGAAAACCTCAAATCCTCTGGGTTACATAAAACACTGAGAGTTTCTTCAAGCTCTGAGCAACTATTACTTTCTGAAGAGATCCTCTGCTTTGTGAAGGTAGTCATATGATGGCATTTATTAGTCAGTAAGATTGCTTAAACGTACTGGCAAATTTAGGAAAATGGTAAATGTAGAATTTTGGTCTTTGTAACAATGTAGAGGAGTATACATTTGAAAGAAAGGTGACTGAGGTTCCATGATTTCTGGCATTGGTAATAACTAAAGAAACTGTGAAATATCAAATTGATTCAGCAACAGTTGACTAGTCATACATAAACGTTTGAGGTTCTTGTGTCTTTCTGACAAGTTGTTGCTGTTGAATCATGTCTTGGAAATGTTTACATGGTGCTGTTATGCTGCTAGCTGGGAGCCGACCAGGGAAATTTTGGGCAGTTCACTCTGACCACACTGGACCTTACACAGTACGTTCGCATGGATGCTGCGGCCATTCGGGCACTGAGTCTGCTTCCACCTCCTAGTTCCAGTACTGCAAACCGCCACCAGAGCGTGCTAGGACTTTTAGATCGCTGCCGCACCCCACAGGGACACAGGTAAACCAACAGAAAGGCTTAGGTAAGTTGCATTTGGGAAGTCCCACATTTAAATATGGTCCAAACTCCTGGTTATTATGTTTTTTCTGTGGTGTCTTTCCAGAATGCCACAACTGCCTCCTTCCAAATTCTTACCTCTGGACCATTCATGGTCATAATCTCTACACATTTAACACTATGACTTTTGTAGTTGGATCAGCATTTTTAAATAACCCCAGTATGAGCCAGTCATCTCTACCTTGGGCCATTCTGTGTCAATCAGCATGGGCCACAACCCTACCCCTCGGAATTGAATGATTTTTTCTGAGGCTGCAGTCCAAAGGGGGAGAAAGTATTCCTGCCAATTTAATTGCTGTATGGCTGCTAGCCTTCTGAGGCCAGAAATCCAAAATCCAAAACAAGTTTTTTTGGCACAAGTTGAATACAAAAAAGTAACATAACATCTGCCCTAATTGCAATACAGAGCTCATTTTATGCCCATCTCAAAGCTAATAAAATGCCCTTTCCGGTGACATATTATACCAATATGTTCAGTGCAGTTGTGTTTTCAAGGTCTTCATATTTAACCTTTGAGACCTTGAAAACATAACTGTGCTGAATATATTGGTATAATATGTCACCGGAAAGGGCATTTTATTAGCTTTGAGATGGGCATAAAATGAGCTCTGTATTGCAATTAGGGCAGATGTTATGCCACTTTTTCAAAGACAGTTAATGGCCATAATTAAGTAAAATTTGGCAAGAATACTTTTTTCCATTGGGGCTACCATCTCACAAAAGTAATTCAGTTCTGAAGGGATCAGGTTGAAAATGTCCCTTTTCTGTGTTGATCTGATGTGGAATGATGCCCATGCTGCTTTTGAGTCCGAACTACGCGCAGTATTGGCACTGCTGAATGCTTGTGTGCATGCAGGCTACTGGCACAGTGGGTGAAGCAACCTCTCAGGGACCGTTGCACCATTGCAGAGCGTCATGACGTGGTGCAGTTAATCCTGCAGCATACAGAGATGCGTCAGGCCCTACGAGAGGAACACCTGCGCCGCATCCCTGACCTGCAGGCTCTCGCCAAGAAGCTGGGTCGAAAGAAGGCTGGCTTGCAGGATTGCTTCAGGTGTGTAGCAAGCCATTCACAGTATCCAGAGCCGGTTTTGTGTTTGCTACCCTCAGCCCTTGTACAGTAAAGGTGGAAATTATTGCAGTTCAGAGTCTGTCGTCCTGTCATTAGGAAGACTCAGCCTGCAACTGATACCAGCCGCCGGTTTACCGGCTGTCTTGATCGAAGACTTTCATAATTGACTCCAGTCTTCCCAGACGAATGTTGCTGTACAGTCTTCAACTATGCCACACCCCTTCAAAATTCTTACCCACTGACTATCCACAATCTTCTTTCTGCCTCGTTCATCACTACATGTTGATCACTGAATATGGGCAATAGTTTTCAGAGCCGTGTGGCACTGTTACAGAATTTACCAGGCAGTGGGGCACCTGCCACGCCTGCTGCAGTCTCTGGGTGGGCATGACGACTGTCCAGCACTGCAGTGCATGTTCATTGAGCCGCTGATGGACTTACTGGGTGACATGCAGCGCTTCCAGGACATGGTGGAGTCCACGCTTGACATGAATCAGGTGGATCGTGGGGAGTTCCTAGTCAAACCAAGCTTTGATGATGACCTGCAAGGTACAAACTGAAGACACCTTTCTCTCCATTTCTTCTTTCTCTTCTTCTTGAATACAAACCAAATTCAACCACGAGAGCATGCTCCAAGATTCTTTCCATTTTCGCTTCTATGACAGTGTGCATTGTCTGTCAGTTTCTCTCCATCTGTGGCTTGTTCTCTGGTTGTTTGAGCGAGCAGTCCAACTGTAGTTCGCCACTCTCACTTTCACAGAGGTGTAGCAGATTTTTCATTTGCTTGCTTATGTTGTGGTTTTGGCAGAGGTAGTATCAATGACAAACATGAATTTTAGTAATGGAATTTCCCCACATTACAGGGAATGTGTATTATAGTTCAGTTACTTACTGATTACTGCATGTGTTTGTAATTTATTCTTTTCGTTTACAGAGCTGCGTGAGGCAATGGACAGCCTGGAGGAGCGCATCAAGAAGCAGCTGACATGTGCAGCGAGCGATCTCTGCTTGGAGCCCAACAAGACCATTAAACTGGAGTCAAATGCTCAAATGGGCTACTTCTTTCGGGTCACCCTAAAGGTGATGACACATAGTGAAAGAATTATCAGTTTGTTCACACATTTCGTGCCCGAACAACTCGTGTTTCCTTTTTGAATTTCTGAAGAACTGGAATAAATCAATAGTTTCACTGTCACACTCGCATCGCCACTATTTTGATCTCAGCATGAACACTGCAAACAGTTTCTTAGTTGAAATTCAGATTACTCTCATTCCTGCGTTATACACATTGCGTTGCTATTAGTATTGCTAACATGCTGTGTTTCAAATAATAGTTTGAAATGTATCCAGGAGATACTGGAACATACTGCAGTAATTTTCTTTCTTTTAAGTACCTTAGGAAGGGCATAGTAATTTGATTAATCTGACACGTCAGCTGTGCTCTCGCATGAGATACAAACAGCACTCGGATGCAGAGGTTGTAACATTGAGAGGGTTAAAACAATGATAGGGCACAATGGATTGAGCTTCAGTTTTTGTTTGAATTTTGTGCTGCGAGAGAAATACTGGCTATTTAAGACAGGTTATTACAGCCAGTCACCATCTTATCTCCAGTTTTATCCCACGTTCTGCACTGTTAACCATTGCAGTCCCCTTCCAGCCACCTGAACTTGCAGTTGTAATGAGAATTGTGTACTTCAGGAGGAGAGGGCCCTGCGGAACAATAAGAACTACGAGACCCTGGACACAAACAAGAGTGGCGTTCGGTTCCGCAGCCCACCATTGTCTCACCTTAACTCAGAGTACGTACAGACACGAGATCAGTATGCCGAGAAGCAGAGGGCAATCGTGAACGAGATCGTCAACATAGCAGGTAAGAGAGTTACACTGCCTCCTGCTGATGTGTGTTCATCACCATCACAGACGTCAGGTTCGAAGTACATGAGCATCCACTTACCCTGCAAGTTCATTCTCTATTATCCTGCTGTCTGTAGCAAACTGTAAAATGTCTCACACACAGCCAAAGTTCTGTATGAATTTCGTGATGTCTCATTTTACATATCCAGCACGTCTGAGTTGATATACACTCAAATATGCTTGGTATTTGCATGTGTAATCTATCCCTTGTTTTTAATATGGATATTACTTCTGTTGCCAAGTAATGATCAATACTGCACGTTACTTCTGTTGTTGCCAAGTAATGATCAATACTGCACTACTGTGACCACATGCACACACCTTCCGATGCTGTCCTGTGATAGGACATTCATTCAGCCTACCAACACCAGTTAGTAGCTAGTAACTAGACAGCCAAAATTTGTTTCTAATCGATTAGAGTGACTTTTGTCAGCAGCATTGGTTGGAAGGGTTACAGTACAGCGTTAGAAACTGAACGTTGCACTATTACTAAGAAATGTAGGCATTTGCAGTGAAAAGAAGTCTGAATACGTTTTCCCCAAAAATATTGGGGGGTGGGGGCTGTAGTAACAGCAACATTGTCACTTGTACATGTCTGCAAGCACTATGAGGTCAGTGGTACCAACATAGCTGCTACTTATGTCCTGAACCCACACACTCTCCTCCTTCCTTGTAGGTATGAATTCCTTCCTCTTTGTCCTGTTTGAAGTGTATTTTGTGGTTTTGTTGTGAACTGACAGTTGGTAACTCTTCACAGCTGGGTATTCTAGAACCCTTCAGCAAATGAGTGATGTTCTAGCACGCCTTGACGTGTTAACAAGCTTTGCAGAGGTGGCGGCCGCTGCCCCAATGCCGTACGTCCGCCCAACACTGCATGATGAGGGTGTGGGCATGATGATCTTGAAACAGATGCGCCACCCTTGCCTAGAGGTACAAGATGGCGTCTCCTTCATTGCAAACGATGTTTACTTCAAGCAAGGTAAGGAAGGTTGACAGCTGTTGAATTAATTCTGTGTTAGTCCAGGCTTAAGTTGGTTTAGCTGTTATTTTGTGTAATATGAGTTGAACCTCAGTGTTGTCGTTGTACTTTACTTTATTTTACTACTTTACAAAAAAAAAAAAAAAAAGGATTTGCTAAAGGCTCTTGTATAATTTTTGATTGTATAATTTTTTGCTTCTGGGTCTTGGGATGGTGTTGAACTTCAGTCTGTGTTACAGGGGAGTGTACATTCCTTATAATCACTGGTCCTAATATGGGTGGGAAGAGCACGTACATCCGTTCAGTGGGTGTGATGGCACTCCTTGCTCAGATCGGCAGCTTCGTACCTTGTGACCAGGCAGAGATGTCGCTGGTGGATGCAATACTTGCACGTGTGGGGGCAGATGACTGCCAAATAAAGGGCATGTCCACCTTCATGACTGAGATGGTGGAGACAGCAGCAATCATCAGGGTAAGTTGTGAGTCACAGTGGTTAGAACATTTGCTTTCACCAACCACATGAATGATACAGCTGTCTGCATAGTGCAGATCTTCCTTCGAAAGCTGATAGTTGCCCTACCTTTTATGGTACCAGTACACAATGTTGTGAACCAGTTCAGTTTACTGCACATCCTCACAGCCTGTTATCTTCCCATGTATGCTTTGGTCTCTTAACTGAGTGCTTCGATTACATTTCTGTTTTTCCTGTACGTGACGTAACGCACCACAAATAAAGGAACTCCTGTGGTTGAAACATGGTTGCAGTTTCAGTACTGTCACACTCTCTTTGCAGACGGCTACCAGCAACTCACTTGTGATCATTGATGAACTGGGACGGGGCACCTCAACTTATGAGGGCTGTGGCATTGCCTGGGCTATTGCAGAGTAAGTACAGGAAACTGATACGTTTTAAGTGGAATGTTTGACAAGCAGTGCTACCAACTGGCATAAATATGTTTGCAGGCACCTTGCTAAAGAGGTGAAGGCCTTCTGTCTGTTTGCCACTCATTTCCATGAGCTCACACGACTGGCTGAGGCGGTAGCGACAGTGTGCAACCGGCATGTGACTGCTGTGACGTCTCAGGACTCACTCACGCTGCTGTATGAGGTGAAACCGGGTGTGTGTGACCAGAGCTTTGGGATCCATGTTGCTGAGATGGCACGGTTCCCCAAGCATGTAATAGAGGTCAGTCGTACCATTCCAGTGTAGCCAGTGCACAGCCTGGAGATGTTATAACAGTGCGCCCATTTAACTTGGGTTCTCGTTTTGCAGTATGCAAAGAGGAAACAGGATGAGCTTGAGGACTACCAGGGCCTGAACTTCAGCTGCAGTGACTCAGAGGACAAACACAAGATTATTGAGGTGAGATACTTGTTTGTGGTCACGTTGCAAATCGCTCTTCACTGGCCTTAATCCCCTCTGTCCCAGTTTGTGTGGATCTTCTTCTGGTGTCATCTTGTTTGCTACCATATTTCTTTCATCAATATGATGGATCACAAATTTAAATGAAGTTTGTGATTATAAATTATGTTAACAGGTTTATTTTTCAGCGTAAGAGCCATTCTTGCCTCATGTACCAAAACACAGGTTTGTGGCATGTGGTGTTGTGCATTGTGCTGAGTAGCGTACAAGGTTACACAGTGCCACAACCTGTAAGACTGTGACTGACTCTTTTAGCCCTGTGAAAGTCTTGAATCATGTATGCAAAATGCAATGTCTTACTTGGAAATTCACAGTTTACATGTCTGACTTACGGGAGATGCAGTAACAGTTTATATCAAACAGTGCACTTAACGTTAGTGAGGGAGAATCTATGCATTCAAAATCCGTTAAGAAGTAAAGGGTTGGGGGATCACAGGCCTGGGGGCGGTAGCAGATGATGAAGCATGTACTGTCCATACTGTAAACATTATTTTGGAGTGGTGGGACTCTGTAGCTCACTGTTTCAGTTCTTATGTTTTTAACAAACATAGTGTGTAGTTTGTTTTCCTTCCACCCACAAACCAATGACACAGGCACAATGCCCAGGTTTGCCCTGACTACAGAACAACTTAAATTTGGGGGAATCTTGTGTGAGGTGTTTCGGTGGTGCCTTCTAATAGTCCACAACTGGTTCCCACATTTACACAGCATCATTAAGAAATGTAACAAATGTTGTAGGCATGGTTTGTCACTCAGCTAATGTGAGGGGGACATAGACATTAAATTATGCTTTTCTCACGTGCAGGAAGGTGAAAAGTTGATGGTTGAGTTCCTGCAGAGGTGCAAGGAGTTGAAGACCGAGGGCAGCAGTGAGGCAGAACTGCAAGAGAAAGTTTTACAGTTGAAAGAGGAAATACAGACTTGCAACAATGCATACATAACTGCTCTGCTAGCACAGACATAGCCTCCTGATGCTTCTCCTTTAAATTGGGAATGATAATTAAAATTGAAAGGAATCGACAGCAAAACGAAAGGTGCCTATCTTCCCAACAAGTGACTACTTAATGTGTGTGTGCATGACCTTCGAATTTTATAGGGCAGTCAATAAAACCAAAACAACTTTGAGCAGTGAACAAGAGACTCGTGCCCACATCATCCTTATCCTTCCAGTTCTTTCCCCCCCCACAAACAAACAAACACAGGTTTCCAAGAGCTGTAGGAAGGATCAGTGCGGGTGATACCTCAGTAAGTCGTCTGCCTTGCCCTGGCAATTGCTTGGGAGAGGGAGTTCTTTAGGGCTGTTGAGAGATGAGATAATCAGATGTGAGTGTTTGTAAATGAGTCCCAATGAAATGGAAACCCCATGCAGTGGAAAGCAGTAGCCATAGTTCATGAAGCACATTTCAATTTCTTGGTACTTGTTAATTTGTTAGAGGAACATGAATACCAGTATAGTATGGGAAAAATGGTGTAGGAAAAAATATAAGGAAAATTAAATACATGTAAGAGCCACGTAGCTCAGTCAGTGTAGCGACTGGCTATGGGCTGGATGATCAGGGTTCGATCCCAGACAGAGGCAGATGATTTTGCATCCACACTAGCTCTGGGACCCAACCATCCTTCCATCCAATGGGTACCAGGGTCCTTTCCCAGGAGTAAAGAGTGTTGCTGAACACTCGCCCCCTTCTAGTGCTGAGGTTGAAAATGAGTACGAGCTGTAAACCCTTTCCCCTAAGTGCTAACATTGGCATGTAACGAGATTCCATTTTGAATACATGTAAAGCACAACAGAGATTTATTAAAGCCCATAACAAATCATTTGAAAATATGAGAAATGAAAATACATTTGAACTCCATGCTGCAGTGTTGATAGTTGCTCGGCTGTTTAAGAATTGCCAGCATCTGTGCACCCAAAAGGTTCATTAAGAAGAAGTTCAGGTAAAAATAAAGCTGATAGTGAAAGATGGATTGAGATTGGGGGAAGTGGGGAGAGCTGGACAAGGATGAGCAGCTTCATTGTTTGAACTCCTGACCAAATATTGAGGTTGTCAAACCGTGGAGGATGATGCGTGGGAGAGAATGAAATGCATGCAAAATTTTTGTCAGGAAACCTGAAAGGATGACACCACTTGGAAGGCTGAGGCCAGGGGTTCTCAAGCTTTTCCAGACATGGGGCCATGTTTGCCATTTCGTATCTACTTGGATGTCAGAAGGCAGTTCATTGAAACACCTTGATAACTTATAAATACTATTAATTGAGGCATATTTCCAGCGGGTTTACATGTATTTTCTGTGACAAAAGCAGTTAACAACTTTCACCAGGTTTTCATTTCTGTAACTTTCTCCTTGGGTCCTAGAAGTCCATCAGTAGGTAGCATCAAGTTGATTTGACATTCTTACAGCAAATTATGTTACCAGTGTAACAACAAAACATTTTCTGATTCTGGGTGGCAAATTCATACCATACAGAGTAATACAGCATTTTAAAAAAAGTGTTCAAGCAGATCTATTGGGAGACCACAAGTTGAGAACCCTGGACCTAGACATATATGGCTGCTTTACAGTTATAGGTCACAGGGGTGTGGACGTTGCCCATCTGGCACAGAATGAAGATTTGTGGAATGTTCTTGTGATAAGAACATTTTTGTTCAGTAAAAATCTCCTCGGACGATCAGTCGCATCAAATGGGTAAAAGACGAAACCGACGTTTCAGGGACCATCTTTGTCATTACCAGGGCTCTGAGATAGTACCTGAAACGTCGGTTTCGTCTTTTAACCATTTAACGCGGCTGGTAGTCCCGAGATTTTAAGTTATGTCGCCGTGAAAGCTTCAAATCAAGTACGTTTTCTCTGTGAAGTTAATGAACATTATTCTTTCCATAGCTACATTCCACCACACAATTCATGCACGATAATATGAAGCAATAGCATTGACTGTTGTCGAATACTTTAATTCGATTGTCAGTCATTCAAATGAAAATTGGCTTGACATTTACGAAAGTTCAATAATTCCCGTCATTGGTGAATAATGATAAATTTCTATCACACATATTTATTTCATTTTTGAACATTCGAATAAAATTTAGAAACGTCTTTCGAATTCGATAGCATAAATTATTCGACTACTCAAATCGCTTTATTTAGTACCTGCTTGCGTGCGTTGCCAACATTTAACATTGAGTTATATATCCGTATGTTGGTATAGCTTAAAGTATTTTTATCTGTGACTGAACAGAGTATTCAAACTTCCGACCAATAGTAATCACTTATTCGTGGCGCCAAGGAAGAACAATAATGGATACTAGTATCCCAAGGTAAATCATTAGAAATTTAAATTTGGTTATAATAACGTTTCGTTTGAATAACTTTGTCAGATGTGATTGTAAGTGGCTGGTATGACTTACAGACGTCTGACAGGAAAATCATAACCTATTTGAAAGTAGTGTTGCGATGTCTATTTAGATGCCCTTGCGAGAATCGTTAGATTTTTACAGGAATGAAGAATTTCCTCATATTATGCAAGAATTTGAGGTTCTCGCGGCAGTGAGTACGAAGATAGTTGTCTTCTGTGTTGTATCATCATGTAGTCTGGTAGACGTTTACTAAAGTTTCAGAGGCCCTTGATGCATCATCCATCATCTGCTGGAGGCATCAAGGACGTAATGTAGCATTTGTAAACTTCTACTAGAATGCACGGCGCTACAACCTAGAAGGCAGCCATCAACAAATAGACATATTCAAGACTTGTAAAATCTGAACATTATATTGTGAACTTTGCCATTTCTCCATTTGAGGTTATTTAATGCCAGCCTAACATCCCACAGCAACATTCAGGGTAGTTACTGGTTGTTGGAGAAGTATGAGGTTCAGTTTTCTGTTCTTTAAAGAGAAATATGAACTAGAATTAACTGGTTCAGAGTAGGGTTAGAAAGCATGGCCAAGTGATTATCAACAGCCATCACTTACAGTGGCAGACTGTTTTCTTATGCTACAGAAATGTGTGGAATATCTGTCCTTTCCACTAAATGATACTGGTCTGTGCAGAAGCAGACATGAGCCAGACTAACTTGAACAAATGTGTTCACTTGCAGCTTGGAAGCATCTCGTGACACTGTCAAAGTATTTGGTTCCAGTAACGGAGCAGAGGGTAGTGTGGACATAGCGATCAGAGACCTAGGTGAGTTGCCCCAGCACAAGCTAGCTCACATTGCAAAATGGGCATTTCCTGCACTTGATGAATTTTGTGTGAATGTGCAACATATGTATCTCAGATTAATATTCCCCACCATCCATGTTTCTTTCTGTTACTTCAGGATATCAGAATGGACAGCTAGTTTCAGTGGGACATAAGCTATGACCTTGAGTTCTTGACTCAAGTGGGTACTACATAGTAAAGGGCCATAGCTCATGCCCCTCGAAATTAGCTGTATTTAGGGCATAAAGTAAGAATGTGGGCCTTAAAAATTAAACTATGATGTGGCAATACCTGCATTCAAGGATATTTCAGAACTGTCACACAGTTCATTTAGGCCCTTAAATAAAGTGGCCCTTGAAGCAAAGCAAACTAGACCAAAATCAAAATGGCATTACAAAATTTAATGTATATCTACCCTTGAAGCAAAGCAAACTATGGCATTACAAAATTTAATGTATATCTGACATACCAATTTTATATGAAATTAGTTGTTGGGTTGCTGCTTGTAACAGATGGGAAGACATTGTTGTGTCGTTTTAAATAAATTTGCTATTTGTGTGGGAAACCAGTTTTGTGCAAGAATGGGCATGGTTACAGTTTTTCTGATAGGCTAGTGGTAATTATGTGTGTGTTACAGCCATCAACTTCCAGGCAGAGATGTCACAACAGGTCAAGAAGTTTGCAGGTGAGGTGGAAGCAGCTGCCCTGCAAGAGAATGGGAGCCATTTGCAGTAAGTTCCTTGTCTCTGCATCCAGTACTAGCCAGTTCTTGGTAATAAAACCCAAGGGTTAAACACCGCCGGTATCAGAGCCCACCATCGGACGCAGTTGCAAGCCAGTTCACCCAACTCATAACCTACTTCTCAAAGATCCATCTTAATGTCATGCCCCCATTTCAAAATGCCTACTTTCCAAGCGGTTTTGCCACTGATATTTCTTGTACCTTCCATCTAGCTAAGTGTACAATCCAAGCTGAAATATAACAAAAATCTTCTCAGCTAATTCTTCATGTAATTTTGTAATGAACATCATTTCCATTACTGTTGTTTTCTGCTTCAACTTTGTGTTGATTTTGGTTTTGTGATATGATATTGTTTATTAACACATGGAGCAAAGTACTTCCTGTAAAGTTAATAGTCACTTAGTCTATTATGGAACCAGAAATTCATTACCATGTCAGATGATTGCCCCCCCCCCCCCTCTTTCCTCAACAACGTCAGTCAAGTCTTCCCGCACTATTTTCTTGAGGTCCATTTAATATTATCGTCCCATTGATACGTAGATCTTCCAAGTGAAGAGTGCAAATTGTGAAGCTTCTCATTTTGCTTCCTCCATCTTAGGTCCAAGCACTCCCCTCAGCACCCTGATCTCAAACACCCTCATTCCATATTCCTCTCTTAATGTAAGAAACCATGTTTCACACCCATACAAAGCTGTTAAAATTATAGTTTTGTGTATTTTAATCTGCACATTTTAGTTCAATTCTAAAGGGTTTTGACAACAGTAGTTTACACTTAAAATTATTCTTTGTGAGGACTTTTTCCATCATCTGTTCTTTAAATTCACAGAGGCTGGTTCTGTCTCCGTCTTCAGGTGAGAGGTACCTACTCTGTTGGGTCCCTTAAATAGAGCTCGATCTGACAAAGATTAATTTTAAGTGCACATTTTAGATATCACACAAAAACAAAACGTTCTGGATACCATGGTACCAAGCAAAACTTTAATACCATCGGCACAGAGCAAACAACACCGGACATACCTGGTGTATTCTGAAGCTATTATGATAAAGCATCTCCTTGTTTCAGACCATTCTCAATATGAAACAAATGCTTACCTTTATGGACTGAACTATAGGTTATGTTTAAACTCGTTTAATGAATTTACTGAATTCATTGTGGTTATGTCTTAACTGAATTACAGGCGTTCTTGAAGTGTATAAATAGTTGATGTACTTTCCCATTGTACTGTCACTTCTTTTTCTCCTGTATCACACGAGTGTAAATATCTGATCAGTAGTTCTTCAGTTATGTCAGAATCCACACTGATGGTTTCCAATAATTTCATCTGCATGTGGAGTTAACCTTGAATGAAGAACATTTTGTGTCTGGTTGCTAATAACAGTGATATTCCTCATCCTGTTATAACAGTTGTCTGTGATGATCACTGCCTTGAAGGTGTTAGACCTCAATATTGGTTGAGTGGGAAACATACAGTTATGAAAAATATTCCTGTGGTTTTGCTGGGAAATTAACTCTGGTAGTAGAAACTCAAGTCTCAATTGGTTGTCATCATGTAATGAGCAGCATTATGCTGTGATGCCTGTCTTGATTTGAAACCACCAAGCTCATTTTGTTGGCAGCTCTGTAGGGCACAGGGACATGCAGCTACAGAAGACAGAGCTCATAATACAGATTCAGTCGATGGCTGCGTTTATAACAAATAAGCTGCATGAACACCAGCTGATGGAGAAACTGGACCCCGTGCCATCTGCTTCACACTGCCAATAAGTGCACACAGATTCCCAGTGTCATATCAACCTGAAACGATTTTCCTGTAAAACAAGTTGTGATACAAAATATTTGAAACGGGTAGACTCAGCTCTACCAACGCGTAATCCGTGTGCCTTCATAACATGCATTTAAACCTCAAGATGAGGTAAAATGAAAAATTTGAAATTTTATTTTGATCAAGTTGAGAAACAGTAACTGAAAACTAATACTGAATATCATGACTAGAAAATGTATTTATATTCACTGATGTGCCTTATGTCATGTTTCAAGACAAACAATAAAACTGCTTCTACTGGAATGCTTTTCTGTGTACACAGGCACTAACTTCAGAGAAAATATTGTCCTGTGTTAGTATTTACTGTATTGTGAATTACAAGAAATGGAAATCCTTCCTCTAAGCTTCATCCAGACTGGATCATGACCCACCAGCTGCAGCTTGGAAGCAGTGAAATGCGGTGGTTTCGTTTCTGCACCAGAAGCAGAAATGTCTGGCATGACATAAAAAGTGAATATGAAATTCTGATGATGCAATTAGTTCCTCATTACTACTCTGTCCTAATACAGGTAAACCTTAATTTACGCTGGGGATGCGTTCCTGGACGAACCGGCGAAATGGAATCGGCATAAATTGAAACTCTTTTTATAATGTGAATCAATGGGAAGTCAATGACATGCTCCGGGACCCAAACTTTGACGACTTAAGTTCCTCAAAAATTGACTTTGCCTTATCCGTGATAGCAATTTCAGTCAAGGGAATGTTTTTTCGATTCATGTCATCCACCCATAGC